AATATACAATTCCCTATAAATTGCGACCAAGAGTCGTATACATGCTTTATTTTAATCCCCTATACAAATTATATTCTACCAGATTCTTAGTCTCCGACAAACTTTGTCTTTCTCTGCGAGTGTGGCATACTTTGTTGAGACTTGAGAGGAGCCGTAATTGAACGTCGAGCATAGACCAAACATGTGCTGAATTTGGGCTGAGCGTGTAGAGAGAAGTCCATGTGAGAAAAGTTTCGGATAGGGAAGAAGATCATTAACCCGATCAAATCGATGAATTATGTAATTTCTGATAGGTAGAGATTCATTATAGTGGCTGGAAAAATAGGATCTTTTATTTGTAATTTTTTATTTTTTCGTTGAGTAGCAAGTGCAACAAAACTATTAGACTAGACTACAATATTATGGGGTTAGTGATATAGAAGAATTCGCATGATCTTTCCGTTATATGTTTGGCTATTCATTCACTTATTTCTTTAGTCTTTACTATCATTTGAATAAAGTAGTTATTTGTTTTTTTTAAAAAGTATCAGGTACAAAATAAGTGAGTTACTCTCTCCACATGTCTATAATCATAAGTGAGTTTACACCTCATAAATAACTCTCACATCATATTTAGGACGGCTAAAGATTCAAATAGGCCCTTGAATTTACTTAAAGTGTTCAATTAGCCCTTTATATAGGAGGTTCTGCCCGGCCATCGCTAATTGGGGCGGTTCCAAGTGGAATTTTTTGATGAGATTTTTTGAGAATCTTCTTCATTAAATCTAGTTTACCCATACCAAATTTTAGCTAAAAATTCAACCGGGAAGGCAGTCAAATGATTTTCCGAAATGTACTGCACTGTTTAACTTCGCAGTTATCTTCAAAAAATCATTTGACTGCCTTCCCGGTTGAATTTTTAGCTGAAATTTTATATGAGTAAACTAGACTTAATGAAGAAGATTCTAAAAAAAATTCATCCAAAAATTCCACCGGGAACCGCCCCAATTGGCGACGGCCGGGCAGAACCTCCTATATAAGGGGCTAATTGAACACTTTAAGTCAGTTCAGAGGCCTGTTTGACCCTTTAGCCTACTTAGGAGACCTTGTGAATGAGTGTCGTCCTTTATAATTATGAGTTAATAATTTCAATAATTTACATCCTCACAAATAACTATTACAGCCAATGCAGTGTCACCCTTAGTTTGTGCTAAATTTGAGCCCACTCCACCATGTATGGCGGTTCGGTGTGATACACGAAGGCCCTATTTGTTTAATAGCGGATGAGCTTCAATCCGCCGTTTGACACAAATGAAAATGCTGCATTCTGCAGCGGTTTGGTCCGGATCCGCCAAAAAACAAACAGGGTCAAAGACACCTAATTTGAGATGCTTTATAGTACTCCGTACGTATGTCTTATTTAGGGATGGCAACGGGGCGGGTTTGGGGCGGGGGTTGGCTCCCCCATCCCCCGCCCCATGTCTAAAAAGTTTCCCCCATCCCCACCCCATCCCCGCTACTCCCAGACCCGCCCCATCCCCGCCCCACCTCGGTGTCCCCCACGGATGCCCACGGGTGCCCCCATATAGATTTTATTTACTCCATTCGTCCTATTTAAAGGCTCTCACGCGCACGGTTTACAGTGTTTGACTAACCATAAAGTTCATTGATCCCTGTCATTAGTAGAATTATTTTTAGTAAATAAAATTTACATATTCAGAAACTAGATTAAAAGTTCTATAATACCTGATAAAAAATTACATTTGATAAAAGTTATATATATAAAGTAAAGATTAAGAACAATGCACGTTGACCGGAGAATGTGGACGGGAACCTTTAAATGGGATGGAGAGAGTATCTTATTTGCATATTTTTAACCCATTTTAAAGATAAATATAAATATATATAGCACTAAAAGAAGTAAGCTAGATAATATCGTGACATCGTGCTTGATAAAAGTTAATTCCTTCAATTTTTAATAATTCTTTAATTTGAATAAGAAAAGTAAAAATATAAGTAAACATATTATCGTCATGTACTAACTCCGTTCTCTTTTAATTGCAATATTGGATTTTTTTGCACTATTCACATATTCTACTTTGACTATATTTTATTAATTAATATATTATAAATTAAAACATTTAAAAATATTGTTAAATTCTTCTCATTCTAAATTTTCAAAATATGAATTTTTCAAATTTTTTACTAATAAGGAATGAAAGATATTAATAGTCAAACTTGTGCGTTGGCAAACGTGAAATGTTGACTGTTGCAATTAAAAGAGAACGGAAGAAGTATGTCGTTACAAATTTCTCATCAATTAGAATACAATTAATTATATACAGAGTATATCACCCTTAAATATGCATATGTGTTCTATTTACTCATTTTCTTACTTTTAACACTCATATAACATTTATGATAAGTATTTTTATTTATTACGTATTATTATGATGATATAATATTTATTAATTCATTAGTCATGACTAATACACAGTTACACACATATACATTTATATATGTCTATATGTATATGCATGTGTTTGTTATATACCTCGTACTACATACTATATAATTTACTTAAATAAGGTTATACATTATTTATATGTGTATGTATGTTTGTGTGTGTGTGTGTGTGTATATATATATATATATACACATATATATATATATATGTTTGAGTAATTGAGTTTATATATATAACGGGGACGGGGCGGGGACGGGGCGGGTGTAGCAATCCCCGCCCCCGCCCCATATTTTAACGGGGTAAAAATATCCCACCCATCCCCGTCCCCACCCCGCCCCAAACCCCACCCCATCCTCACCCCATGGGCGGTTCCCCACGGGCCCCCGCCCCCATTGCCATCCTTAGTCTTATTGTATCAAGTATGATAAACTTGAAACTAAGCTTTATGTGTTTTGAATCGTGTCATATTTAACAAAAAACTACTCCGTATATACACACAAAAATATAGGTCTCTAATTTCTAGAGATGGCAATCGTGACCGAACCGATGGATACCCGCACCGAACCGCCCCAGTCAAAACGGGGAAAACCGCATTGACTTACTGGGTAACGAGTACGGGGCGGGGAATACCCGTTTTGTTTTTACGGGTAACAGGGTAGTTACGGTTTTATACATGTCCGTCCCATTACCCGCCCCGTTTATTTTTTGTTATATTTTTATCACATTTTATCTATTATTTGTCCCACAACTAATAAAAGATGAGATTTTCTATTTCCATTGTGTATATGAGGATAATAGATGTACTAACTATAGTATATGAATGAAAGTTCATAATAGATCTTAATAGTTTGATTATTATCACATTTTTCTTAATTAATTATTTTTCAGATTAAGTATTTTTAGGTCCAAATTAATTTAGGTTGTTTTTTTCTCATCTTGTAGATATACATAACTTTAAGGTGGTGTTTGAGTCTAGACTCGTCTAGGTGATGCCATTTTTTTCCTTTTAAAATATTATTTTTAGGGAAAATCTCACTTTTAGAGTTTTAGTCCCTCAAATAGTTACATAAATGAAATGTCGGACCCGTATATAGTGTTTAATTGTTTTATAACTTTTCGGTGTGGCACAAATGTTTTAACAAAGAATACATACCGTCCATCATTTCTACTCCTAGAGTTTTTCATGTACATATCAATTTAAAGTATAAAAAAGTTATGAAAATATTACATATACAATAAAAAATGAAATTCCAAACTAAGGGACGGCCGCCCTCCCAAATCAGTCTCTGTACAAGGGTGCATATATTCCTTTTTTAAGGCCACTGGTGTTTAATTTAGAAACCATGCTGAATGTGACCATCTTTTAAATTTGTATTCGTTTTTTGTGTAAATATGTTTTTTGGATCTTAATATTGTCATGCATCTAGGTATTTGTTGATTGATGAATGAAAAAATTACTTAAATTTTATTTTAAAATATTTTAAGAAGAAGGCTTTGATGTTGTTGTTGTTTCATTTCAACTAGTAACTCACCCGTGCGATGCACGATCGGAGAACTTTTCTTTCAAATGTATTTGTGTTAACTATTCAAATTACACTATCAATTGATAACAACATCTATATATCTCCATGCAATATTGATATAGCTCAAACCAATAAACATAACACACTTATATTTATAGTCACCCTTGATGCTGCAACATAGAACTGTTCGTGGGTAAATACCGATTTTTTCAACAACCCAACACTGGACAAAGATTGACCTCGACTTTTATTTATAGTCATAGCATATAATTAAAGTCATAACAGAATATTGCCGCCACTGAAATATGAAAGGCAAGCTGGCATCGGATGGGGTCAAGGACAATCTAGTAATTAATACTTTTTGTCCAGCACTCACACCGGTTAAAATCTTTCCCTCCAAAACATAATCACCAAGCCTCGTTAGAATCAATCGAGTTCTGTTACCCAACCCCATTGAATGATCAATATTAGGCAAAAGCATTACCGGAGTTATGACCTTTAAAGTTAACTCACGATTCGGTACCCCAGATAAAAAAAAAATGAAATTCCAAACTAAGGGACGGTCGCCCTCCCAAATCAGTCTCTGTACAAGGGTGCATATATTCCTTTTTTAAGGTCACTGGTGTTTAATTTAGAAACCATGCTGAATGTGACCATCTTTTAAATTTGTATTCGTTTTTTGTGTAAATATGTTTTTTGGATCTTAATATTGTCATGCATCTAGGTATTTGTTGATTGATGAATGAAAAAATCACTTAAATTTTATTTTAAAATATTTTAAAATATTTTGAGAAGGCTTTGATGTTGTTGTTTCATTTCAATAGTTCATGTTTTCTAACTTTTCCTGCGAATAAAATGTGTTTTACCACCCCTTCAAAAAAAAAATGTGTTTTACCACATGCCAAAATACTGAAATTTTGCGGAAATTTCCCATAGAGTTCTGTATACGGAGTGTCGGAGTATCATTGAACCCAACTTCTCATTTTTTCCACAAAGATTATTTTTTCCCATACGCCCATTGACTTTGACTTTTCAAAGGCATCTGTTAAAGACAGTCCTACCTCTATAAATTCCTAAGTGCTCTTTGTAAACTAGTCAAATCCGGGCAGTTGGGTGGTAGGCTGATAGTTGAGTTTGTGAAATTTTGTTCTCCGTAAGGCCCTTTCTTCTGGGGTTCAAGGCAAGTATTCTTGACTGCATGACCCCCGTACCCTCCCCACTCAAATCTGAATTGGTTATTAATGCTTTCATTTAATGGGTTTCCAAATGTTTTCTTGATTATATCTGGCTTTTTGTTTTTGATAGTTTGTTGGATGAGATGTGCTAGACAGTGTTATTATGGTCTGTAAATCTAGCACCTTTGAGTAAAATTTATTGCCTATAACATTTTTGCTTGATAATTTTAGTTGCTCTTGCAGAGTTTTCTAAGAAACTACAGAGTAATCCTGAAAAGTAGAGAGGAGATGAAAGTATGATATTTATGTTTATATTGACTGATTTATAAGAAAAGCCTCTAAAATTAGAGAGTCTAGCAAGTAAAAAATGGATGATAAAATTAAACAAAAAGTTTCGTTTTTTTTCTTGATTTGTTTCCTTCTGAATTTGGTAAATTTGAAGTTTATCATATATTCACATTCCAGTCTTCTTGTTTTGGAGTCTGGGTGAAAGAAAGAACCAAATCCTTTTTTGGATGGAAATAACAGCTCTGGCAACTTTTTGATTGGCAGATTTCATCTTTTGATCCACAAGAGATTCCATGTTGAAAACATATAGCTTCAAGGAGGAGCATCTGAAAGATGTTAACCAGCAACCTGGTTTTCATAGACATGGAAGGATGAGACTCAGAACGCATGTTCCATTGAACAACATAGTTGTTGAAAATGAGGAGGTTAAAGGGATGTATGGTGATGGATTTTTTCCTGTGAAAGCAAAGCAGCCTTCTCCAGTATCTTGTCCAGCACCATATGTATACTCTTCTCCCAAACCTGTTCTTGATGCTGCTGCCACTAAGGTCCAGAAAGTCTATAAAAGTTATAGGACCAGGAGGAACCTTGCAGATTGTGCAGTAGTTGTTGAAGAACTCTGGTTTGTGTTCTTATCCTTAGTAAACCTTGTCACCTTTTTCCCGCTTGAATATCTAGTTTTGACTAATTTTGGTTCATTAATTGACACTATAATTTGATGTGGGAATGTTAAACCTTTTATATGGGTAAAATATAAGACAACAAACAAGGTCTTTGTGGAGGAATCTAATATGATATGTGAACACGTTGAGCCGCAATATTGCATGAAACTATAAGTGTTTCTCACTTGAGAAAGATACTCCTCTATTTACTTTTGGTAGTTCCTAAGCGTTTTCACACAATACAAAAATGGTAAGAGTTTGTGGATAGTACAAAAAGTATGAATGGGAATATAAAAGACTAAAAGAGTAGGACAGGTTGGACAGAGAAAACGAATTATTAAGAGAATTTGTGATTTTCTACAGATGATAAAGTAAGAAAAGCACACAAATGGAAAACAGGGAAAGTAATTATAGTAACCTTCATAAAAGGAATGGGGAGCAAATAAAAGTAACAAACCAAACTAAGGCTTTGAGTTACTTCTGTTAAATGATTATGTTGCATTTATGATCTCTAATTTTTTCTTGGGGTTTTCAGGTGGAAAGCTTTGGATTTTGCAGCCCTAAAGCGCAGCTCTATATCATTTTTCAAGAGTGATGACCAGCATGAAACTGCAGCATCACGGTGGTCTCGTGCCAGGACAAGGGCTGCTAAGGTACAAAGATCCTTCTATCCTTTTTTCTAAAGAGTTATGTTTGTGAAGCAAAAACAGTATAAAGTTGGACTTTTTTAAATTTAGAGAGTATCAAACAAGTTTATCAGCTGCATGCTAAATATGGAAGAGTTGGGTTGTATTCATTACAGGTAGGAAAGGGTCTGTCACAGGATGATAAAGCTCAAAAGCTAGCTCTACAGCATTGGCTTGAAGCTGTAAGTCCATGCTGCTAACTGATTGAGACTTCGTTTGATTATGTTGTCCAATTTATTCTGCTTTTCCAAAGAATAAGTATCTTTTGACTTAATTAATTGATTAAAAAGGACATCACCAAATGTTTTTTAACTTCAAAGAACTCTACAGATATAGCCATTTCAGCTAAATAGAACTTACCAAACTGTCCCCTAATTCTTAAGCTAATTGGGAACTTTTATGATACAGATTGATCCACGACATCGTTATGGACACAACCTGCACTTCTATTATGATGTATGGTTTGAAAGCAGAAGCACTCAGCCATTCTTCTATTGGTATGCTACAATGACACTAATAAGTTAGCCTTAGATCCATACCTATGTGTCTCAGCCTTTCTTGTTATGTGTATTCTTATGTCACCTTTCCATTGCTGAAGGTTGGATGTCGGTGATGGTAAAGAATTGAGTCATAAAAAGTGCCCCAGACTTGTTCTGCACCGCCAATGCATCAAATATTTGGGACCAGTAAGTCCTTACTACCATTTGATCATTTCATATCATATGCTGCTGCTCCTATCAGGATGGCTTTTTAAGTTGAAATCTCACCCGTCTTCGGTTGTTTTCTATGTAAATTTCAGAAAGAGAGGGAGGCATACAGGGTGATTGTTGAAGGAGGAAAATTAGTTTACAAGGAGAATGGCTCACTTCTGAACACAGAAGAAGGATCGAAATGGATATTTGTGCTAAGCACGGCCAGGGCGCTTTACGTGGGGCAGAAAAAGAAAGGGGTCTTTCAGCATTCCAGCTTTCTCTCTGGAGCTGCCACAACAGCTGCTGGTAGACTGGTTGCTCATGGTGGGACTCTAGAGGTATGGTTTGTCATTTAATTTGTGCAAAAAAACATGATCAATGCATGTATTATATTACTTTTTCCCTATTGAGAATTACATGTATGAAAATAATTTTTTTGCTTAATAAATGTTTGGCATTAACCATTGCCATATGCCTATATATAAAAAATCCACTCTCTTGAGAGAAAAGAAGTGAACAAATTGGTGATCAGAAAAGATTTTACAAGCATATAAGGTGAAATTTAACTTTTTTATTTCTAGGAATCACTTCTTTAGTCTAAAAAGAAGCGTTTGACAAGAAAAATACTCCGTAGAACATAATATTTTTGTCTTATGTAAACATTTTAATGCCTATTTAAGAAACAGAAAGATTAATGCTTTTTAAGAAAAGGTCTTTAAGTGGTCAATGAGAAATTAAGCCACCTACACCATAAGAAATTTCAAACATGCTCTAAAAAAAAATTAAAATTACATTAAAAAGAAAGATAACCCATTCATAAAAAATAAATTTAAGAATTTTAGACTTGAAAAATAAGGTTCCCGGGCCTGGGCCCGGCTTCTTCCCAATCTATGGCCATGCTCTAACCTTGTCGTAATTTCTATAGGCAATTTGGCCATACAGTGGTCATTATCTACCAACTGAAGATAACTTCAAGGAATTCATCTGCTTTCTTGAGGAGCATAACGTTGACTTGACCAATGTGAAGGTAAGTAGGTAACATTCATAAAAGGAAAAAAAGTACGCCGTACAATTTTTTTCAAAGTAGCAAGGCATTACTATTTTGTCAATGATTAACAATAAATGAATTGCATTATGCAGAGGTGTGCTATAGATGAAGACAAGCCATCTTTTATTCACACTGCTTCTATGGGGTCTAAGACAGAGACAGGGGATGAAACCAACATAGTGGTTAATCAATCTGAGGTTCCCAAACCAGCTGTTTCCCATGAGGATGTTAATAAGGCCGCCGACAACATGAAACGTCCTGTGTTTGACCTGGCCAAACGGATGTCATGCAAGTGGTCGAGTGGAGTCGGGCCCCGTATCGGGTGCGTTAGGGACTACCCAATGGACCTTCAGACCCAAGCACTTGAGAAGGTCAATCTGTCACCTAGAGTCAATGCTGCTCATCAGCCCATGGACAACTTGCCCATTCCTTCGCCTCGGCCCAGCCCGAAGCATCGTCTTTCGCCGAGGCTCACGTACATGGGACTCCCGAGCCCGAGAGTTTGTGCTCAAACTCGTATGTTCTAAGGATGTTATGTGTAATGCAATAATGGGTGGCATACAGATAACTGTGAATGACCAATTCACAACAACAAGTTTGGATGGCGCCTCAATTAATTGTAACATTTTGGTAACTTATTGTTTTGTTCTTTCATTCATGTAGTGCTTTAGCTAAAGAAATGAAGGTCAACATTTTGGGCCATTTTCCATTTCAAAAATGTAATGTGTCTTAAATAAAAATGAGTATATATTTAATTGATGAAGCGTCAAAGTGGGCGTGAACCCAAATCTTTATATTAAGGTCCACTCTCTTGAGCTATATAATATTTTGTACTTTGGGTTTTGTTGGAGTTATAAGTTTTTAACAAAAACTTTGTAGAGTACAAGTTTTCAGTTGTTGTAAATCAACGCTATGAATTCATGCTCATTTCCTCTTATGTGTGCACTTTTAAGAGCTTAAGCATTGATCCGCTCGCCTTCTCCAAAGTCCAAATGCAAACTTTTAATGATTACAAATCAACACAGCTTAAAATATGTGAAGATAAGTGTAGGTATCTTCCACCTTCTTTCTTGGAAGTTGCCAAGAGACATATAACACCTTCTAGGAAGGAGCTATCAAACACATGAACATGGAAGGAGATATTAAGATAACTAGGAAGCTTGGATGCAACTTCCTCTTGTCTCCAACCTAGCCTATAAATAGAGTGTTCTATTGTTGTTCATATCATCAGTTTAGAAAGTGAGAAAAGTGTGTGAAGAGTGAAATACACTTAGAGTAGAAGTGTATTGGTGAGGATTGGTTTTTTGTAATAGTTGAGTGTGAGAGTTTGCTCCTCCTATTGTAATTCTGTTCTTGATATTGAATAGAAGAATTTTCCAATCCCAACAAGTGGTATCAGAGCGAGGTTGAGTTTTCATACACTGTTTTCTCATTTTCAGATAAATTTCTACAGGTTAGAAAATCGTGATTTTTCAAGTTGCTCGGAATCACGATCTGATCATACCGTTAGATTTGTCTCGTCGAGACGAGAAATCTGGTATTTTTGGGGAATTTTTTGGCCACCGGAAGAGGCCGTACGCGCCGCCCAAACGCGCTGGAAAACTGCCTGCGTCATCATTGCGTCAGCACGCAGTCCAGAGGAAGAAGACGAGCCACGTCAGCCGCCACGTCAGCCGCCACGTCAGTCCACGTAAGCGCCACGTCAGCCGCCACGTCATCCGTGTAAGCCATCCTCTAGGGTGCCACGTCAGCGCCACGTGGCGCCACGTCAGCGCCAGCGCAGAGCCCGCTGTTGCCACGTCATCCGCCTGCTGGTCTGCTCACTGGGCTGCTGCCTGAACCGGACCGAACCGGTTCGTACTTGTGGAGGCCGGTTCACCCATTTTCAGACCGGTTTTGGACGAGGTCAGACCGGTTCCTACCATTTTCGGCCATTCCGGATCCAACGGTGAGCTCCGTTTGTCCAAATTCGGCTCCGAAAATAAGGTACGAGATATTTTGAGCGTTTTATTATGGATAAATCATCATCGGACACCATGATTGCGCTCACTTCCACAAATTACAATATGTGGAAGCCTCGGATGGTGGATTTGCTAAATTTGAGGGATTTAGCCGATCCTCTTGATAATAATGGCGTGAAACCGGATAAAAAGACGGATGAAGAATGGACAAAAATGAATAGAAAAACAGTCGCACAAATTCGGCAGTGGATCGATCATAGTGTGTTCCACCATGTTGCGCAAGAACAAAGTGCTTACACACTATGGGAGAAGCTTGGTAGCATGTATCAAGCAAAAACCGCCCGAAATAAGACATTACTAATGAGGAGATTAGTAAACCACAAGTTACGAGGAGGTATTTCGGTGTCAGAACACACCAGTCAATTCCAGGATCTTGTGAATCAGTTGAGCACCACAGGATGGGTTCTCAAAGATGAAGAGCAGGCGATACTACTCTTGAGCTCTCTACCTGACAGCTGGGAGACTCTTGTTGTCACTCTCAGCAATTCTGCTCCCAATGGCAAAGTGACTATGCAGATGGTCACAGATGCCCTTATGAACGAAGAAGCCCGAAGAAAAGAAGCCGGGACTGAACAATCATATGCCTTCGTGTCAGAAACCAGCACACGAGGGGGAGATAGAAATGGAGGAAGAAGTAGAGGTCGAGGTAGAGGCCAAGGTCAAAACAGAGGAAATTCTCAAGTTCGCGGCCGATCACAAGAACGAGGTATGTCCTGTGAAAACAATACTTGGTTTGAAGGATATTGCAACTATTGTGGTAACTATGGGCATAGAAAAAGAGATTGTAGCAAGTTTCTACGAGAGCAGCCACAGACGAGTCAAAATACTAGCCAAGAAGACAGTGAGACCATGGTTAGTTTGTCATCAGACGTGTGTCTTGTTACACATGGTGAACAAGAATGTTTACACGTAGGTACTCATGATGTTGAGTGGGTGATTGATACAGCCGCATCATTTCACGCCACTTCACACCAGAATTTATTCACATCTTATAAGTCCGGGGACTTTGGAGCTGTGAAGATGGGAAACACCAGTTTCTCGAAGATTGTTGACATTAGTGATGTGCACATAACAACCAATGTCGGATGTGCACTTGTTTTAAAAGACGTTCGACACGTTCCGGATCTTAGATTGAATCTTATCTCCGGTACAGCTCTGGATCAACAAGGATATCTTAACAGATTCAAAGAAGGTACGTGGAAGTTATCTAAAGGTTCCTTGGTTGTTGCAAGAGGCCATATTTGTGGTACTCTGTATAAAACTCATGCAAAGTTGTGTCATCCGAGTCTCAATGCTGTTGAAGAAGAGATATCACCAAACTTGTGGCACCGGAGGTTAGGCCACTTAAGCGTGAAGGGATTGACAACTCTTGCTAGGAAGGAAAGGATTTCCATGGGCAAAGGTGTTGCCTTAGATCCATGCGAGCACTGTCTATTCGGGAAACAACACAGGGTTTCCTTCAGTTCTACCAGGAAGAACCATTCAGAGTTACTCAGTCTTGTACACTCTGATGTATGCGGACCCATTGAAGAGGAGTCATTTGGAGGAAGCAGGTATTTCGTGACATTCATTGATGATGCATCACGAAAGGTATGGGCTTACTGTTTAAAGAGTAAGGATCAAGTGTTTGATCGCTTCAGATTATTTCATGCCATCGTAGAAACAAAAACAGGGAAGAAGCTGAAGTGTCTACGTTCAGACAATGGAGGAGAATACACTTCCCGAGAGTTCTCAGCATATTGCGCCGCATATGGAATCAGACATGAGAAGACGGTTCCACGAACTCCGCAACACAATGGTGTAGCCGAAAGAATGAATCGGACCATTATGGAGAAAGTTCGTTGCATGCTGAGTATGGCTAAACTACCTAAGCCATTTTGGGGTGAAGCTGTGCTGACAGCTTGTTATCTTATAAACAGGTCACCTTCTGTTCCTTTAAACTTTGAAGTGCCAGAGAAGAAATGGTCAGGAAGAGATGTTTCTTACTCTCACTTGAAAGTGTTCGGGTGCAAGGCATTTGCACATGTGTCCAAGGAGTTGAGACAGAAGCTTGATCTCAAGTCAAACCCATGCATCTTCATCGGGTATGGTGATGAAGAATTCGGATACCGGTTGTGGGATCCCGAAGTGAAGAAAGTTGTACGAAGCAGAGATGTTGTATTTCATGAAAACGAGTTTCATGGGTGTGTTCCAATAATCCGCCAACAACATACTCCAGAAGACGAAGTGCCTGTATCATCAAACATTCCTCTCAGCGACGAGGAGATGCATGATACTACTGAACAAGAGAGTGATGGTTCAGTAGGTGATGATGATACTCACAGTGATGATATTCCTCAGCAGGGGGAGCCTTCATCTGAAGACGAAGCTGAAGGTACTCATGTTCGACGTTCTACGCGAGGCATAGTTCCACCGAGAAAGTATTCCACATCCGAATGGATACTTGTTAGCGAGGGGGAGCCTGCGAGCATTGCAGGAATGAGAGAAATAAAGAAAAAGGTGGAGGGGGAGATTTGTAGGTATCTTCCACCTTCTTTCTTGGAAGTTGCCAAGAGACATATAACACCTTCTAGGAAGGAGCTATCAAACACATGAACATGGAAGGAGATATTGAGATAACTAGGAAGCTTGGATGCAACTTCCTCTTGTCTCCAACCTAGCCTATAAATAGAGTGTTCTATTGTTGTTCATATCATCAGTTTAGAAAGTGAGAAAAGTGTGTGAAGAGTGAAATACACTTAGAGTAGAAGTGTATTGGTGAGGATTGGTTTTTTGTAATAGTTGAGTGTGAGAGTTTGCTCCTCCTATTGTAATTCTGTTCTTGATATTGAATAGAAGAATTTTCCAATCCCAACAATAAGAACCCAAAAATTGAGACAGACAAACAAAGGAGAGTACTAAATGAAAAAAATTTATGAACGAAGACAAGAGTTTGGATTTTAAAGTTTCTTTTATGCTTGAAAACTATAAGAATAACAACATTGCAATATGTCGATTAATATAATTAAAATTAAGTGTATTTGCGTCCTGTTCAATGTTGATTACCTACTTGTAGTTTAGATGGTAACCATAGAGACATGAACATTAGTAGGAAATTTGTTCATTACAACAACAACACATAACTTCGAATCAAACTCTCTTTACATATCCAATAACTATTTTCTCCCCCTTCTCATTATATGACCTTAATCATTCTTCTTCCACATATAACTTCGAACCAATCTCTCTCTACTCATCCCAGAACTATTACCTCTGCCTTCTCATTATATGACCTTAATCATTCTTCTTCCACACATAACTTCGAACCAATCTCTCTCTACTCATCCCAGAACTATTTCCTCTCCCTCTTCTCTTCATATCTCTCATCCAAATCATCAACCAATCTTCTACCACAACTAATCACTTTCTCATCCAAGATTAAATTCAAGATTAGCAACAAAGCTTCAAGGATTGTCATCTATCGCAAGTTTGATGTTCCCTTTATCTCTTTAAACCTTTTATTTTAATCATGAGTACATCTCTTTCTAAGCTTCCCAACATTTATATCTACAAAAAATTGAGACAAAAAATTGGTTAATTAATTGTTCTTATCATGTTTTGATTTGTATTGATTCTTATGGTTAAGTTTGTTTTATTTAGATTATTTTTTCGAGAAATGTAAATTATGTTGTGTTTATGATATACATTAGATTAATACACAAATGAACACTTCCTAAATACATCATCAAACTTATTTTCAATTCGTTCATTAATGATTAAAATTTATTTAGAACAAATAGTTTCTTTTACTTGATTTTGGATGTAAGACTGTAAGTAGTTTCTTTTACTTGGAATCACAATAAAAATGAAAATAAGACACGCATTTAATGATCAAAGTCGATGGTAGAGAGTCATCAATGGAGAATTGAGAAAT